CGGATCAAGGCCAGATCGAGGCCGGAGCGAGCTCAGATCAAGACTGGATCGAAGTCGGAACAAGGCGAAAGCGAGGCCAGATCGAGACTGAATCGAGGCCGGATCAAGGTCGCATCAAGTCCGGATCGAGGCCGATGCTAGGGGCTTTCAAGTCGAGAGCAGGCGTAGTTGTCAGCTGGTTGTAAAAGGGCTTGACGACGCTTCGAAGTGTGTGTTCAGGCCGATTTGAGGAAAAGAGTTCGGGCCAGTTTGGAGGCCATTTCCACGTCGGGCCAAGTCATCCTCCAACTTGCCGGCCCCAGTTCTCGCGCATGCACAAGCCGTCCGTTGCCAGAAGCCAATCCCACTTCCTGTCGTCCCACCCCCGTCCCACCCCCTTCATTGCAACCGATCTTCTGCCCGGCTTGTCGCACGTCTCTCTCTCTCTCTTCTCTGCATGGGCGTCTCCTTTTCACCGGACAACCCTCCTCAATCAACCCCCTCACCGCGGCTCTGTTGGGGCTCCTCACTTTGTCTGTATGCTTTGTGTGTTTTGTGTGTATGTGTGCGTGTCTGTGTGTGTGTGTGTGTGTGTGTGTGTGTGTGTGACTGTGGACAAGACATTTTCGAGGCTCGTCCAGCTGTCTGGCATGGGGGTTTGGTGTGTGTCGGACAGATCCGGCCCACTCTCCCCAGACGGACAGCAAGCGGTCGTCGGCAGCCGGGCGCAAATGTGTCCACATCTGCACACACCTGCACTCCACTCCAGTCGCTTAGACACACGCGCAGCCCGACAAAGGCCTATTCCACCCATCGATACACACCCACACACCCTCTTTTTTCTTACACACCAACTGCCTCGCAGCACAGTTCGAGCCCCGGCTCTGTCTGTCTGTCTGTCTGTCTGTCTGTCTGTCTGTCTGTCTGTCTCTCACCCTCTCGATCGCCACGCTTCAGTCCTAATCGAGTTGCTCGAAGTCTCCGTCCGTCACAATCATTTGTCCTCGTTGTCGTGGCGCACGCAGACACAGCTGAAGTATGAATTCGAGGCCACAGCCCAATCCCAGTGGCCCTTCGAGCCAGTTCGAGTCTGCCAATTGGGGCCAGTGGCTGAAACGACTGTCGCGTCGCCGCTCATCTCAGCTCAGCCATCTTCACAGCTCCTCCGCGCCCACCGTCATCAAACTGTCCTGTGTTC